GAGGCTCTCCAGGTCGGATTAGTTCCAACCCTTTTTCTCGGTTGGGTCAGAGTAGGTTCCACGCCCGTTGCTTTTCAATTCCTTATTCAAGCTTTAGTCTGCAAGATATTTTCTCAACGAATTAGATGTCGGTTCATTTCTTAGGGGTTTTTAGTTTTGCTTTTTGTGCTATTTGTGACTTTTGAGTTGGTTTCTTTTTTTTAGCTCTTACTCGATGTTTTGGATTCTATGTTTGGTTCCAATAATACCCTTCCAACATTCATAGTAAAAAAAATAAGAAAGAAAAAAATAATATATAATTTGAAATTGTTTAAAATAATTATATAAAATAATTTAATTTTAAGATATAAAAAATTTAAAATTATTTTTATTTTTAAACCTTGTATTAACTAATAATTTATTTATTAAAATATTATCCAGCTTGTCATTCAAGTAGTTTATCATATAATTTATTTATTAAAATATTATTATTTTTATGTATAATTTAAAACAAGATATGCACAAGGTTTGACAAATAAGTAACAAATATTGAGTTTGCCTCAATGGTTGAGGCGTTCCCACCTTATGCAATATTTCACTTATATTTGTTTTCCTTTTAAACAGGTGGTGGTCACCACCTTATTGGTGGGAAAATTCATTTAATTAAATATTAAAAGTAATTAAAAAAACTCTTCAATCAGCTCATGACACATGTAACTATTAAAATATGTCTCAGTAATCGATTGACACATGGCACATCCTGATTCGAAGATTAATTTTTTGAATTAAATCAAAATTAGGACTAAATTGATAGAATATACATGTATTGAGGAACAAATGTGTAATTATATAATTTTATGTTAATTGCCACGTCGCCCCTCTGTTAGATTTTAACGGCTAATGACTATATTGAACTCATTTAAATAATTAAGTAGTTCCAAAATTAAAAATAATGATCATTTCGATACTAACCCCAGAGTTGGATAGTCATCCAAGTAGTTTACCCATAAATTAAAAAAGTAAACTATACGTTTAATACTTAAATTATAAGTTTTAACCAGTTTTAGAATTTAAACTTTCACTTTTTAAAATCACACTTAATGCTTAGTTTTAATTTCATTTTAGTACATGTCGTTAAAAACTTAACGCATTTAGTACATAAACTTTCAGTTTTGTTCCATTTTAGTACCTAAACTTTCAATTTTTTTCAAAACTCAACATTAAGTTTTTTAATAGGGTACTAAAATGAAATAAAAATTAAACTATAAATATGATTTAAAAAAAATTAATATTGAAGTATTAAAACATATTAAAATTGATAATTTAAGTACAAAACGCGTAGTTTATCCTAAATTATAATTTAAAATTAAAATCATTTAACTTAAGCATAAAAATTTAAAATAATCCTAAATAGTCAAGACTAATACCAAATTGATTTCATAAAACTAAAAAAAGGATAAAATTAGAAAATGGTCATTGAACTATTTTAAAATAACTTTTTAGACACTACATTTTCAAAAATTATACATTAAACTTTCAATTTTGTTATAAACTGGAAATACTGCCGTTAATTGTTATCGGTTGTTCTTAAGGATATGATGTGACACATTAAAATTAATGTATATATTAAAATATTTTTTTAGATTTTTTATTTTCTAGCCAGAATTAATTCAAATCTCTTTCATTGATCTTATTAACATCATAATAGACTTCCCAAAAAAAAACCCTGAAAAAGCTAACCCTCCTTTTTCAAAAGTTCCCTCATTGACACTACTTAAATTATCAACTCTTGCACGAACCAAGTGACATCCGTGGTAAATGAATTGTTGTTTTTCTTTGAGGACCCGGGTTCGAGCATCATAGATGCCAGGGGTGTGTGCGTTCAATGTCAAAGGGTTAAGAGTTATCTTTTAACATGTACTACCTTGTATTTACCCCAGATTAATAAAAAAAATTACTAACTGTTCATCCATAATTTGAAGTGCTTAATATATGATTTATAATATCTAATTACCTTAAAATAACTCCAAAAAAAGCAGGATTCCAATAGTTCAACACCTTATTAAGAATTTTCACCAAAATTACCCAAAAATGAACTAAAAATCAACCTCCCAAGTTCTTGTTATAGCAATGAAATCCATGAATTCTTGATTTCGTCTCTTGAGTCAAGTGTTAGAAAGTAGATGGAAATTATTTCTGATTAAGGTTCTTGAGGAGCTATGATGAATATCACTTTTGTTATTAGAGATATTAAAGGAAAAGTTGCAATAATATTATGAGTTGTTAGCCCTAAGGCTAAGGATGATATGGTCTTGTGATGTGTGTGTAACCATAATAAGATACCTGTAGGTTTTCTCCATCACCAAATTTGATGGCCATTTTAAGTTTCACTATATGTATATCACATGATATAAACCATCATTTACCTAGAGAATGACTTTGATCACTTTGTCATGTACGTCTTATTTACTTCAACAATATTTAATGCATTTAAGAGGACGCCATTAACTCTTTATGCGAACTATAATTTCATTATCTATAAATGAAGTTACATTTTGGGTGAGTTATATATCCAATGTCAGTCTTCTGCTTACTACTTTGAGGTGCATTAGTTTTTACTTATTTAAGATTAAATGAATGTCAGAAGTGAACTATTCTATAATTAGATTTAAGATTAGTTCATCTTAGATCATGTAAAATGTGCCGTTAGTTCAAATTAACATATCTATATCTTTATTTGGAGGTTAACCTTATTTTGATAGCTCAAAATAATTATAACCGTCTGAACTTCAGACTATACATTTAGATGGTCAATTAATAGAAACTTTCATATGCATACAGAACAATCTATGTGATGCAATCTTATTACTTTAACCAGGTAATCATTGAGTCATATTTGTGCAAATTTGTGCAAAATACATCTTGTTTGTGAATATAAACGATCCAACACATTTCTAGTCTTGTTTGTTCATTTATTAAATAAACATAAAACTTTGTTCATACTCGTTTATTTAGCTTAATAAACGAACGTTATATGGACGATTCACGAACAATTCATCAAACGTTGTGTTCAAAACCTTCCAACAATGTATATTGTGTTAATGAGATGTCTTGTGTACTATTTCAGTCCCATTGGAGTGTTGGAAGCGCCTCTTGAATCCACGAGCTCTCTCACCAAGAAGATAACTGACCTACGACCGTCACGACCTCATTCTTTTAATTCAACAAAAAGAAATTGAAAAAGCAAAAAGTGGAAGTCATTATTGTCTCTGTGTTGGAATAAAAGGGCAGTAGGAGTCTTCATGGTGAGTTCCTCCCACAACATTTTAACCCGACAAGACACAAACATGTCCGCCATGATCATTTCTATCTCGGTTTCTACATAGGATCATTTCCATTAATCTATGTTATATACTTTTATGTAGGCAAAATCCAGGGGCTCCCTTCTATTTTTTTCCGTCAATGCTCTCTTCTAAAACCTCGCATTTGCCCATGTGACTCTCTCGCCTATTTTGTTTTTCTTTAGATTAATCAATGAAAACATATTGATATTATTTCAGTCCTCCCTCCTTTCTTATCTTGCTCTCAAATGTGAGTGTACGAAATAATACTAATCATCATATCATTATCTTAATTAAATGAATCTTAATAAAAACCAAGTCAGGTCCAATTAACTGACTAAGGGAGAGTCCATGGAACAGTCATTGCTAAACCAAAATAATTAGGAATCAAAGGGGAGTTTCTGATTCCTTGTCTCGTGGGTTGTTAAAGTACAGAGGAACACATGGAATTTAGCTGCTGATTCATTTCATAATAATTGATACGTACAAGTATGTGTTTTTCAATAGGGAATTAATGTTTCTAGAGCTTGGGCATCTTTAACCACAATGGTGAGAAGAGTATGTAGTCTTCTTGGTTTGGATTTGTGTCTTTGATTAACAGACAATGCTCAGCGCAATCATAGCCGACCTGCTAGATTATGATCCCACAACCACGGTCTAACAAATAATTTGTTCATAAAATAATTCTGCTCAATGTTTTTTATTATTATTAGGAGCTTTATTTTAAAAGCTTTTTCCTGTTTGAGACAACACAGTGGCTGATCTGTCTGGTTTTCTGCAGTTTTAAATCCCATACCCATGTGCTTTTCTCAGTTAAAAATAATTCATTTTGTCTCTTTTTTTTTTTTTAGCATTTTTAACTCAATGTTTTATTTTGAAACAAAATGATTCCTAGTTAGATGGAAACCACTAATTGACTAACGACAAATATTTATTACTAACATGACAAGTTTTATATGTTTAAATTCATGGCGTGACACATGTCATATATTTATAAGTAATTATGTGATGTATGTCACATGCTTAAAGTGGTGACATGATAAATACCACGTGTACATAAATAATAATATGATATATGCCACAATATGTAAATGACGACAAGGTACATGCCATGTGTACATACATGATGACGTGACAAATATCACGTGCTCATAAGTAGTGACATGATAATGACACATCACCACTCTAGACACATAATTTTTCATGTCAACAACAAGCGTTATTTATTAGTCAATTAATAGTTTTCATCTAATAAAAAATATTTTTACCTTAAAATAAATTATTGGAAGTTAAAATGCTCAAAATAATAACATAAATGGTGACTGTTTATCAAAACCTCGATGAATTTTAGCATTATGAATGTTTGATTTTCTTATTTGTTTGAGTATACAACGAAACAGCCTGAAATTTATTTGCTTGGACCGACAAAGGATTAGAATATTGCCATGAATGGACGCGACAACTCTTGGATTCGCCACTGATCTTTGCACATAACTGTCTCACTCTTCCCATAGGACATCTCTTTTTTAACTCGTACTATTTGCAGTTGCAGGAACAATGAACCTTTGCACCTCATGATATAATCCTTACCATATCCTTCCTTTACACTATCTCCCATAAGCCACTTTGGTTTGCCTATAAACTCTTCCATTCTCAGCCTGCAATTTCCTCTCACACACAATGGATTATCACCTCAACACCTCTGTTCGTCTAAGCCTACCCAACAATGAACTAAACCTAGAGCTCCTCCTCGAACCATTATCGTCATCGTCGTCGCCCCGCAGCCCTGCGGAATCTCGAATTTTCTCTTGTAATTATTGCAAAAGGAAGTTCTATAGCTCACAAGCACTTGGAGGGCACCAAAATGCACACAAACTAGAACGGACTCTTGCCAAGAAAAGCAGGGAGCTAAGCTCGGTTGTTAGGGATCAAGGTCAACGTCTGCAGTCACCGACGGCTCCGTTCGAACAACAAAATCGAGCCGGTGGGTTTGCTGGAGAAATGAGATATGGAGGAAGAGATGTTAACTACGTTTCCATTGAATATGGAACTGAGAACGTTGAAGATGAGTTTAGTCAGGTTGATTTGTCTTTAAGGCTGTGAAATTGCAGTTTCAGTCCTATAAGTTTGAGAAATTTCTATTTTCCTTTTTTATGATACGTTTATATGCTTGAAATGCCAAACTATTCTTAGCAGAAAACAAGAATGTTCGGGGCATAGTGTCAACTTTTAATAGAAAATATTGTGAGGTTGATTTTTCTTTTATGGCTTTTACTTTCTTTTTATGTCTTTCGTATTCATTTTACTAAAAATATTAAGAGTTTGGTTATTCATTTTAACAATATTGTCTCTAATAGGGGTGTTTATCGAGTGATCTAGGGGTGCTTATCCAGTGAGTCGATAGCGAGTTGAGTAATGTTCGACTTGTACTTGTTAATAGATTTTGTTATTCGACTCGATTTGTTACTCGTTAAGCTCGTTAAAATTTTGCTCGATTCGTTCTTGTTAAGAAATTTGTTGCTCGACTCGTTGCTCGTTAAGCTCGTTAAAATTTTGCTTAATTCGTGCTTGTTAAGAAATTTGTTGCTCGCCTCGTTGATCGTTAAGCTCACCGAATTTTTATTTTATTTTTTTAATTATAAATATAATATACTAATATTATATAGAACTTAATATAAACATAAATTAATAAATTTAACAACAAATTATCAAAAGAGTGTACGAAACAAATTCAAAGTCTAAATACCAAAATAATAATCCATAACTACATTAAAATAATAATTAGGGTTTGATTTTTTTGGTGTAGCAAAATAATAATTAATAATTAATAATTTAGTATTTTTAATTATTCATTAGAAAATTAATAGATCAGTAATTATTATCTTTTTATCATCTATTAGTAAATTATTAATTTTTTGAATGAAATTATTTTTTTGATAACTATTGAAAAGTTATAAAAAAAATTAACGAGTTATTCATGAATTTATCGAGTCTAGTTGGACTTTACTCGACTCAGCTCGTTAAGATCTCGAGTTGAATCAACCTGAATTGAGATTTTATCAAGTTTTGATCGAATTAAATCCGAGTTACTCACAAGGTGCTCAACTCATTAAATCCTCCTATTCTCCGGTAGTCGAATTTAAATTCTCTTAATAAAAGCCTAGAAAGCTTTGTTCATGAAGAAATTTATTTAAATATTTTATTACAAAAGATAAATTCCATGTAAACTCTTTGTTAATTGTAGCGTTGTAACTCCTAATCCAACGTAGAAAAAATAGACCGAATCTAGAGGACACAATTAAAAAAAATCCCTCCTAAAAAACGTGTTCGTTTCAAACTTAAAAATAACATTAGTAAATAAGAAACAAGTTCTCAAATTCAATATTTTGTAGTATTATTAGAATAAAATATCCGAGAAAAATCTAATGTAACATATAATTAATAAATGTTCCCAAGAATATGCAAAATTAATTCGAAATAATTTATAATGTCCAAATCTAAAATCACATAAATAATATAAATAATAATTCCTAAATAAAAATATGAATAAAAAATCGAAATATAATTTTATACCGAATGTAATATTTTTTCTAAAATGTGGAGTGGTTCTCTAAGTACCCTATCAGTATCGATACTAGCCATTGAGTCTCGAAACCGCCTCTCTCAATATCGAGACCAAGACTTCTATAAGCGTTAAAAGGGTTGTTTTAATATCAAATTTCCTCTTTTTTTAATCACTTCTCATTAAACCCTAAACCGACATCCCTTTCAATTATCTCAATTCAAGCTCGATTTTACTCAAATTTCCACCCAAAAATAGTCATCCTCTCATCATCTTACTTGGATATGCATCAAGCCTTCCTCAAAACCATCACTCTTTTTCTTTAAAAACTTTTGGTAATTTCGCTTAAACTCTAAATTTTTATATTTCAAAAATTTTTTGTATCCTAAATAATTTTTAATCATGTTTTAAGTTGTTTTTATTCTAAAAATAAGATACACGATTTTGAACAAATTCCTATTACTTTAACTACATGTTTTGCTCAAACAATTTTCAAAAGTCTCTTATACAAGGATTCCAAAAAAAAGACTCATATAAAAATATGAATATTTTGTTGCAATGGGGTTGATAATTGATTACACATGTGTATGTTTTTAATGCACGAAGTTAACTCATTCATCATTTGCTTTAGAACCCTTGATTTTAGGTTTGCCTACCAAATGTTTGAAAAAATGTCCAAACGAAATTTCTCTTCTCTTAGCCACTGTTTTTGATAAAAACAAATACCTCCTAGAACGAACCTCAAGCGTCTTAGGTTAGTGGCACAACTCAAACCTCAAGCTCCTCAAACTTTAAAAATGCTTACTTTAGGGATTCTAGTGTCCTTGATCTTTACAACCGTTTTTTAAAACTAAACTCCTTTGAACCGAGTAAACCATTGATCTAAATTTCCTTATGTCGTGGGTTTATTGATTCACCATTTTTGAAACATTTGTTTCCAGGAGTTGATTGGATTTGTTTAGCATCCCTTCTAAGGTTAATCCAAACCTTTTTCGTGTCTTCTTTTGTAATATTGTCCTTGTCCATGAAAAAATGATGTAAACAAAGTCATTGGGATTGAGTCATAATGATGAGTGATTTATTTCTTTATTATTTTATTGATAATTACTCCTTGTTGTTTCATTGGTATTACTGATTTGGGCCATTTTTATTTGATTTTATACAATACTTTAATTTTCAAGAAACGACATTAAAAGGGCCAATTATGCAGTTTTTTTTATTTTCTATAATGAAGTCTGGACTTATCCGAATAACTTAGGGCATGATGGTGTATGACAGATTCTAGTAGTCCAATCAATATCAACTTCTAGAAGGTTGTCCAACCAACATGATTCAAAAGGGAAGCTTGGAAAATTATTTAGGATTTAAGTTTGAATTTGAATTCAAAAAAATATTTCATAATTATCATTTTTTTTATTTAAGATTTTTTTATTTGAATGGTTTTAAAAAGCTATAAATACCTCCTTATGGTAAAACTTGAAACACACTTGGATTTAATTTGTTTTTCTTTATTTTTATTTTATAAAATTGTTTCTTTTCACTTTTCAATTTTACTTTAAGTCTTCATTTAATTTTATTTAAATGCATGCTAAGTATGATTTCTATCATGCTTAGATAATTTTCTCAATTAGCTGACTCAGTGGTGACTCAATTCATTTCGTCAGAATTGAAAAGCACTTAATATCTTCGGATATCATTTTTAATTTTCTGCAAACTTGGATTGGCAATCGACATTTCCTTTAAAAAATCTTAACATTTTCATTTCAAAAAGAGCTCATTGGTCTGGATGTTGTTCTAATTTAAAGTTGGGAGGAAAAATTATCTTGTAGCAAATTTGACTTCTTATGAACACACTTAGCGACAGTCCGCTTAGTGAAATTGGGATCAGATTCGATTCTCATTGAGACAACATAATCCGAGTCAGGCCTTTCTAGTTCTTTAAATTGATTTGGTGCTAACGACGATTGTTGTAGTTAGTCCAAACAAGGACTAAATTTCAAGGATTAACTTGGGAATATCGGTTTATCGAAGAGAAAAGTAAATTACAAGGGTTGGGCCTTGTAGAATGTATCTGACATAAATCCAGAAGTAAAATCTCTTTCAATGATCAAAATAAATTGAAACAATACGAGGCTTGATGTTATTTTATTTAATTGATTTTTTCTCAAATTTACTTTTTTTTCTAGATTTAATTTTCCACATTCTCTTTTACTCTTTTAAATTTATTTTTACTTTGCTCTATCAACTAAAATCCCCCCCCCCATTTTCTTTAATTTCTCACCAAAGTCAGAATCAAAACCTCTCAACATCAGAAGCTCATTAATCTATGTGGATCAACCCTTATTCTCTTTACTACACTTATTATTCATTTATTTTTTAGATTAAGAATTATTTATTTAACAAATACGATGCTTTTCAAATTGGCACTGCTACCTGGGACTTCGAAAAAGTTATTGATTAAGATTTGTTTTGATTTATGACCGGGCATAACCTGAGAGAGCTAGTAGACTACGAACCAAAAATTAAAGCATTAGCTCATAGAATACACGCACAAATACTTTGAGAAAAGAGACAACAATGATAACAATAAAGCCAACAACAACAAGATCCAGAACCTGACGCAACCACCAACGTCGAAACATTTTTCACGCCAGAAGAACCAGTTCCAATGGGTAATCAATAATCCAGGAACTAGTTGTGGCACTTTCCATTCAACAACCATTATGCATCATCTTCCCTTATGGTGAAACTATATTTCAGCTTAAAACGAGTCTTATCCACATTTCTCCTACCTTCCATGGATTATCGAGTGAAAATATGCACAACATCTCATGAAGTTTCACATGGTTTGCTTAAGTATGAAACCACTAGGAGTATCTAAGGATCATATTAAACTTCACTCTTTCCTTTTTTTCTTAGCCGATTTGGCTAAGGAATGGTTATTTTACTTACCTCCCAATTCTGTTACAACATGGGTTGACATGACTATTCTTTTTCTTGAAAGGTTCTTCTCTACGGTAAAGAAGAATGAATCAAGGAGAAGCATCATATAAATCTAAAAAAAGACAGAGTCACTTTATGAGTATTGGGAATGATTCAAGAAGCTTTATGCTAGTTGTTTACAACACGGGTTAACTAAACAGACTCTTCTCTAGTATTTCTACGAAGGTTTGCTTCCTTTAGACATGAAGATGATCGATGCTTCTAGTGGAGGGGCTCTCATAAACATGACTCCAAATATGGCCAGAGATTTAATTTCTACAATTGCCGCCAACTCTCAATAGTTTCTCCCTCCTAGTAAACCCACTCAACGGATTCACGAGATAAGTACATTTACTTTGGAAAATAAGATCGATAAGTTAACTGATGTGGTGAATTCTCTTGTCACAGGTAAAACAGAACAACCAAACTATACGAAATATTCACAATGTCAGACCATCCAACAGACTAACATCTGATGTTACAAGAAGATAATGCAACACAAGTTACTGCAGTAGGTAATTTTCTGGGACCTCCTCAAAGACCTTACAATCCTCAGGCCAACGCTTACATTCTGGAGTAGAGGGACCATCCAAACT